CCATCCGGGACCCGGAGTTTTCCAAATATCTCATCATTATTTACGAGTTATATTTCGCAACATATCCTGCCATTAAAAAGAAAAAGGCAGTAAATAAAAGGGATTGTGATTACTTCAATATAATTATATCTAGTTTCCTGTTCAGTAAACGCCAAACAACGCGGAACACAGTGTGAGGATTGTCAGCAGATGAAGAGGAAATACTCGTTGACATACTAGTATGGCTTCATCTCACATGTTTTGGTTCCATCACTCTTCTATTTATTTCGTCCTTTTTGAGGTCGTAGCCGAGTTTGAGTATGCATGAAGCTTCAGCTTGAAGACATTTGGACCTTTGTCCTCATTGACATGTTGAATGCCGATAGAGCATGGTGTCTAGCGATGTGAAAGAGCTCTTCGAAGTATTTACCATAAGCATTCATAGGCTCTCGTAGACCTGACATGATGCCTTATGAAAATCAGCAAACTGTCAACTGTTTCTGTGACCGAAGCGAATTCTTCTATCCATTTGCTCAGTCTCGAAATTATCGCATTATTCATCGACTGATCACTCGAATGTTTTACGAGCGAGTACCCGGAAGTTTTGAGTAGTGTAGCTATGAGAAGTAAGACTAGATTTTATTAGAACTACAGAAATCGTCATCAAAAAATACATTCACTCTCAAAGCGATAAATACTGTGCATTGACGTTAGACTCGTGAATGGAAGAGTAGCTTGCTTGCATGAACACGGCCATTCTACTCAACTGTTAAGCACCATTGTTTCCCTCATTCGGAATTAGTGCCGATGACTTATAGTGTGAACGATTTCATGGATCGGAGAGGACTTACAGCTTCATAATCACCTTTTCCATCTAAAAGCTACTAATCTGAGTGGATCAATTCAGCATCGCCTTCGATCTCAAGTTCAATAGAGTGTCTGAGTAAAGCCTCACATTGATCACTTATTTTGGTAATACACCACTCTCGTACCAAGAAATTCGAGATTTGTGGCAAAACAATGTTCACGGACCATCTCTGTGCTTTTTCTTCTTTGTGACGGTAAAGGTGATAGACGCGATGACGGCGTTCCTTCTATTCTTAGTTGCTACCGCAGTAAGTTTCATAACGGCGTCTGCAATAATTCTTATGAATCGATTTACTTGATGTTAAGCCACGCATGATATGCACAAATTCTACGGAGGTTGTGAAAATAAAGAAGTTATTGGTAGAAATGAACAGTTACAGTAAGTCAGGGTAGGTCTGGGTTTGAAAATATAAAAATAATAGAGCCTAAAAAACTAGTTAGCATCATCTACTTCAACTTGCAGTCTTGTACCCATCACCTCTTATGATTTAGCTGGGGTAAAGTGTTAAAAATGTCCTTACCTCTAAAAGCTAGCACGAATAGTGGGCGGTGCTGAGGTGCTTCATTTCCGACCATGCTGTGAACGATAACATATTCAACAATTATGAACAATTTGTGTGATAACACTGAAAATCTGATTGCAATTTAATTGCGACACAGGAGAACTATAAGCTAATAGATTTGTAGGGCGCGTGTGGCGCAGTGGTTGGAGGCGCAATACACATGGGATCGATCCTCGTGCCCCAGGCTCACCAAGCATTCCATTTCTCCGGGGTCGGCAAATTGGTACCATACTTGCCTGGGAGGATAGCGGCAGTGGCTCAATACATCGATGAGCCACCGCGAGTCATTATAAAGGCCAGATATGCATCAGTCACCTCCAGCGATGTTTAATGAAGTAGAATGCATGACGCATTCCTCAGCCATTGGACAACGCCGAGAGCTTTATCCTTCTTAATAGATTTATAAATGTATTTAACTGTGCGATGATCACAAAGCTCATGCAACCGAGCGTCTGCATTAGTCGTCAATGCGATCTCTTTTCTTCATCTGTAATGAAATCAGTGAACTCTAGGAGTAGCATTGTGCTGACATATTTGCTACGGTTGGTTTTTTCTTGCGCTCATCTACTACCTTTACTGGAATCAGAATCGATAGTAAAATTATTGATGAAGGATATTTCATGCCATTTATTTGCCGTTAACTTGCATTTCTTATTTCTCCCATCCAAATTCGCGATGTCCTCGATTAGTTTATAAAATATTCCTCTAAAATATCCTTCCTTTGTAGACACAGTAGCATATTCTTAAAAAATGCAAGTACTATCTAACTGAAGTTATGTAGTGATCAGATCCAACAGGGATTCTCAAAAGGAACTCTGCCATTCTACTCATACTCCAAAATTTTATCTCGATATAACCACGTCATCTTCGAAAATGATGCCGATAAACAGCTGGCCCTTCTGCAGAATAAGAGTGTGTTCGGTTTCTTTAGCGATGAGACTGGCTTAGCTGCCCATTAGCAGACAATTCCTGCATTGTTGTTTTCGTGGCCTTCAACTTTTGATCCCATCGACGATATACCACAAACAAACCTGACAGAAGCAGATTTCGGTATAACAATGCGCTTTTCAGCTGAACAAACTGCCGGTCTTTAATTGTTGTCCAGTTGTTGCCAGTTCCTATCGCTGAGTCACGTGAACACATCACGATGGCTAGAATGCTCCTACCTGCCATAGCCATAAGAAACATCAATGATTTACCGTTCTTTCTTAATGGAATTGCATGCAATGAAAAATAGTAGCTGATCCACGAGGCTCGATATGTTATGTCTTCCCTAATTTTCGTCGTCGACGATTCGCAGTGCAGTACAAGTGTTGCATTGTAGGAGATGACCTTCTCCATCGGCAGGACATCGCAATAACGTCAAAGAGGATCGATCCGGTATGCTATTGCTTGCTGCCAACAAGGCGTTCATCCTAAGCCGTAAGAGCGTTATGTGACTCTTTCGCATTAAATGAAAATCCAGGGATCTTCTTTTCCTATGAAATCCAACGTCTCAGTGCCGAATTTTAGGAACTCTTCCTTTAACTTCAATGATGCTGAGATATTTGCAAAACTCTGGACCGCAGGTGTCTGCGGTGGGGAACGAACGCGCTATTGTCCTTTCCGGGCAGTAACGCGTTTACCACTACACCATGCGGGTCCTTGGTTTCGTCTGTCTCTACGCTGACGGGTGATTGATCGTGGCAGAGATCGATAGAATTAGAAGTTATGTTTCCCAATATACCATGCTATTAAAAAGAGTAGGCAGTAAATAAAAAGTTAGAATTGTTATTATAACTACGACCTTAGCTCAACAGGGTTCGTTGCCGATTTGGGCTCCTTAGATCAATCCCGCTAACGGGTGATTGCTGATGGCAGTGATCGATAGAACTAGTTGAGAGACAGGCGAAACGAAGGATCCGCATGGTGTGGTGGTGAGCGCGTCACTCCCCTGAAAGGACAATAGCGCATTCGTTCCTTCTGCAGACACCTGCGGTCCGGAGTTTTGCAATTATCTCAACATCTTTCAACATCTCATCAACATCTCGACACGAAGGCGAAGCTGCAACGTCGAGACGAACAACAATCATGGACCATCGACTCGGACCGTCGGCTCTGAGGAAGACGAAGACGTCGAAACGTTAGCCGAAAATAAATATATTTATCAACCTCGTGCAAGCTTACCAAGAAAGAATACATATTGATTAGTCACACCGAGGTTTAGAGAAAGTCGGTTTCGAAATATCTCAACATCATTGAAATTATGGTTCGCAATATACCCTTCCATTGAAAAGAGTAGACAGTAAATAATAAGTTAAAATCTTGCCTTAGTTCAAAAAAAGTACCTCAACGATCCACGAAGCTGTTCATCTTTTATTGTTATTTGCCGCAAGAGAAGAGATTCCTCCTCGTATAAATATGTATGAAAATCGGTCTATTAAGTGAACAATGCTATTTTTCTTCAGTAAAGACCTGTTTCTTTCTCTTCTATGTGGTATCGGTCTTTTTGTATATCATTCATTGAAATATGGGCTCCTGTAGCGCAATGGTTAGGTGTACAATTCAACACATACCGAATTGGTCGCTAATTCCACCCTTCGCCTCAGGGCTCATAAGCCTTCAATCCATTTTTAGTAGGCAGATTGCTAACCAACTTGTCTAGGAGGATGGAAACACCGGGTTGGTACATCGGTAAGCCACCACAAGTCGTTGTATAGGGTAAATATAAATTCAAACACCTCTACATTACTACGAATGGGGTGGAATGTATGATGTATTCCTAACGGATGATCGAGGCCGATTGCCCTGTCCTTTATCCTTTTATTTATCAGACTCACGTTTGACGAAAACAGTAGCTAATTGGCTTGATTCATTTTTATTTGTGCTCATCTACTAACCTGGTGGTCTTTGATCACAGCACTCCGGAAAGGGCGGTGAGTTCGTTTGCATTGTTGTTCTAAAAGAACAGCTCACTTCCTGTGAAAGCGATTTCGTTCTGGTCGCCGATCATCCAGACGTTCTGTTTCTTCTTGTACTCCCATAGCTTCAGAAGCGTCATAGTGGGTGGAAAGGAGAGGGGTAGAGCTTCGCTCGTCCGTAAAGTGAGCATATTTTTGGATCGGACTTGTTTTTAAAGTCAATTTAATCACATTTAACGAATCTCGTCAGACATGGATGACTCTATTATGGAACGAGTGGTCGTCGTATTACGACTATTCGCTTCCACATATTTTGTTGAACAATCGGATCACACCCTTTTCTGCTTTTCTCACCTCTCGTTTCCCAGTCGATGTTGCACCTAGTGGTACTTAAGCTCGACGTGATGATGGAGGTTTTCAAACATCTTATAGTAATTCCATAAATTTTTTTAGGCCGTTAAGACATGTCTGACAACTTTTGCCTTTATTTCTTACATCATCATCACTCTATCTTCTTCCTATTCTTCTTTCTGACGTAACTTTTGCTTTCTTTCTTAATTCATCTTCAATCCTTCCTCTTAGTCCCAAATGAATACTGCCCGGTTGGTAATTCTGAATTGCATCTCGTTGCCTGCTTTGCTTTTTCCTTTAATCAGTGAAACAAATGAAGAGATCTTTTTAAGTTCGGGTGATGCGAGTTAATGTGGCGCGGGTTTGGGACGATGCAGACTACATGAGAGTCCGTAATATGTGCGACAACAATCAAGGATGGCGTGAGGTACAGCGTGCATTTAAAATTCTTCGTAGTTCCGAGTTCTGATTATCGCAGTTCTCGGAATAAAAAGTGTGGATAAGTAGTGGAATCCGTCAAGCATTTATTATGATCCATCACGTTATCTCACGGGACTTGCTGCATAGAGTTTTATCACGTTATCCCTCCACTTTTATCTCGATGCATCGTATTTTTAGGTGTATAAGAAAAAGGGTATCAGTGTGTTTTCGCAGTCAGTCCCGTCCAACAACTTCCAGATGATCAAGGTAATTTTTCTGACTTCGAATGAAAAAGAGAAAAAATAGTCAAGGCGCTTAAAAAATTTGTTAGCTTAGCATTTGCTTAGTGAAAAACAGAGCGAACAGCAGAAAACGATAAGTGGAATTATTGATGTTTTCTCAGAGTTTAAACCCTCACCTCTGATAACGTGAAATAAAGAAAATCAACCCATTTGTGCTTCTGAAATCACTATGCTTTACGTTAGTTGTGGTCCCGTACTTTCATTGAATCAATGTTTTTAACTTCTTAGACGTCTTAATGAATATGCAGTCGCGTGGTGAATGCTGCAGCCCATCGTTCATTCCTGAACTCATAGTCGAAACCCAAGCTTTTTAGGCCATCTGTAACGCACTAGTTAGAGATACCCAGTAATGCACAGATGGTCTTTGGTTTTATCCCACACCCCGAGCTAATCAAGTCTTGCATTCATTTTGAGTCACCAAATGGTGTCAAAATTCCTGAGAGGTAAAGTAAAAGTGTTGACTTCAGTATCCCTCCGCAGGTTATGGGACAAATATGTATTTAATCACTTCTACAATGACTAGTGAATTCGTATCCATGGCGAATCTTTAAGAGTATCCTTGATCAACGTCAGATTTCCTATTCCTTATATTTTTTGTCATGGTTGGGACCTGTTTGTAGCATAAAAGCTCTGAAGATGTTTTCATGTCAGAGGTAATCAAGTACTGTTCATTTCAGGCCGTGGCGAAATTTCCGGACGTACTGCCGAGTGTTGCCTATGATGTCTTGCACGATTCGTCCTATCGATCTCATTGGGATCGACATATGGCCTCTCAGTGCTTCATAGGAATTATTAATCCCAACAATGATATAGGATATTATGCGTGTTAGTTTTGTTGTGGCAATTATCAATGCAAATTATGGGTGTAAAACTGCACATATATCACCATCCTCATTCCTTCCACTATCATCCGTGTTCATAAGTTGGTGAACTAAACGGACCTGGACTCTGATCGCTCACAGAGAACAAGTTTCCTCGGATACTGAATCGTATGAACTATATAATTAACACAGCACACTGTCCGCGACGGTATCTCTTGTTGCAGTAGAGTTCAACACAGGCAATTAAAAAAACAGCTCAGGTTACTGTACACACACGGATAAATACTACATGATGTCATCAAAAGTATGATATCACGTGGGTCAAAAGTAAAGGTAGAATCGTTAAATGGAAGGCAGGTCTTTAGCAGGTGAAGAAGAATATTGAAGAAAACATTAAGAAGGCAACAATGGAGTGCTGTATAGGTACGCTGATGCTTTCAAGGACCTTTCCATTAGTTTCCCAGTCCTCCATACATAAACTATTTTTGGCAAAGCTTCTATGAAATCTAGAAAAAGCGCGAGTATTGTTGTATTATTCATTCGTCCAATGATTTCGCTAAGGTGGTGGTTATAGGCATGACCCACGATGGTATTGTATCCAGTTCTATAGCACTAACCAGTGGCGTGGTCTTCACTGTACTATGTTCTTTGATTAGATCGTGCTCAACGCAATGGTAGTGACGCGTAAACTGCGCGCAAGGCTGGTTGAACCCCACCCTAGGCCAACCAAAGTCTTCTTTCGCTCCGATATCAGGTAATGGGTGTCAATATTGTGTAAGAAGGTAGCTCTAATCCATAAAACCTAAGAACGACGTTAATCATCTATTCTAACATTAGATTTTGACTTGGGAAACTCCATGTGGGTACGATCACAGAGAAAACTAAAAATTCACAAACAGTAGCCGACCTCTCTCACGAATCGGGAGACCTTTGTGGATGATGGATACGAGGAAACGAATCGAATCGAAGAAGTGCTTGACCCGCACAATCTATGTGGAAACGAGTAATGTGAAGAATTCTTTCTGGTCGAAGCTGATGAATTCGAGAGAAAGAAAAAAGAAATCACAGTTAAAGAAGGAAATTAAATTACACTCTATACAAGGAATCTGTGGAAAAAGCGTTTGGTGGAACGGAAAAAAGAAGGCGAAAAGGTACAAGAAAAATGCAATAGCTAAAATAGGATGGACGATTTCGTTGCCTTTGTAATCATCACGACTTCGCACTTTTTGTTGAAAGACTGGTACGTAAAGCACAATCACTGTTATCAACAACCGCTCATCTTGTGTAAAAGAGCGTCGCTGGGTGGTAACACCTCATTCGAGAGATGCTCCACTGAGGTCAGGACTCGAGACACGAAGACCCCACATCGAGAAGACGAACAAGTGTGGGTCATAGAATCAGATCATCGGTTCTGGTGAAAATGAAGACGTCGAAACGTTAGCTGGATAAACATTATTTATCAACCCCGTATAAGCTTATCAGATCAAGAATACATGTTGATTAGTCACACTGAGGTTAAAGGAAAGTCGATTTCGAAGTATTAGTTTGTGATTTCGAACTACTCCAAGCAGAAAGGCTGCCACTGTGTTGAATCAACACCGTTGACCAATGCCAAATACTCTTCGTTTTTTTGATGTGCACTATCTCTCGGACATGAGGAATCTCGAGCTGCCTAAACGTATGGTCACGTAGCACGCTGGTCGAAGGTCAACATATCCTTAAGCTGATATCGAGGTAGATCTGGGAGACGCACTCGCCTCGACCTCTGGTTGGCTTTTACTTTCTATGTAATTACGTTTATACATTTTTGTGCCTACATGTGCGTAGGCCACGTCGTATACGTCGATTCCGTCAAGGGTCTGCAATCAAATAGATGGGAGATACGTAAGAGACTGTCCCGGATTTCCTACAAAAAAGAAAGGGGTCTCAGTGCGAAAACTATGATACTCTTTCTGTCAATTGAGCGATCTAAGTGATTGGCTAGCTCTGTCGTAAGAGGAATAGCGACGAGTGAACACTTAACCGCCCCTGGTTGTTAATAGGATCAATTGTGATACAGAATTTTATTGTATTAGTTAGAAAACGATACTTCCAAAAGAGCTGTTTTTTATAAGGAAACTGAAAAATATCCATTATACTGACCGAACACTCAAAAAAGAATCCTGAGTGCTTTCAGTGTCGGCGATACCGCCAATCCGTGGCCGCGACTTTGTGATGCAACGTTCTTGGCTCGATACTGGTGATGAGAAGCTCATCTGTGGACATTCAGTATATCATCAGGTGAATAATGTGGGACATTATTCACTTTCTACTAATATGGTTCAACATTTGTGGACGGGTGTTCTTGTAAATGTGTAAGCTTTCGAAAAAAAAAAAACACTTGTTTTATAACATATCAAGCTGAACACTAGAGAACTAAGGACTTGGACGTTTCAGATATGATTCGAACTGTATTTCAAAAAATATTTTCAGAACACTCGAGACGCTTACTAAACGTGATTTCGTTCTACATTTTCTCCTTGGGCACAATCTAGGATTGAGTTTAAAGAGGGCGATGCGTAGAGATAGTCGCGTATTACACGCACTATACCCCCCTCCCCCCATTCCAATTTAACCCCACCCGAGTCAACCAAAGCTTCTTCCTTAGGGGATGTGAATTGATGCCCTGTTTGTCTGGGAAACGCTTCCTAGGATGCATAAAACTAGCTGCGATGAAGACCTGAAAGCACTTTATCGGACCTCTCCCAAGATTTTAGCTAGGATCGACATCATAAGTGCTCAATGACATTAAGGAAAACCAAATCTCAAGTATTCTTTCTTGGTAAGCTTGCACGAGGTTGATAAATATATTTATTTTCGGCTAACGTTTCGACGTCTTCGTCTTCCTCAGAGCCGGTGATCCGAGTCGATGGTCCATGCTTGTTGTTCGCCTCGACGTTGCGTCTTCGCCTTCGTGTCAAGCCAGATCTTCCTCAGTGAGCCATCTTCTCGAATGAGGCATCCTCACTCAGTGATGCCCTTTTATACACGATGCTGATGGTGGATATATAATGACAATGTCCGGTGGTAACAACTTGTATTTCTTCCGGACATACATCATTGCGCACATCGTGCAGAGGTCGGTGTATTATCAGCTAGCACAAAGCGTAGTAATATTTCGAAACCGACCTTCCCTAAACCTCGTGTGACTAATCAACATGTATTCTTTCTTATAAACTTGCACGAGGTTGATAAATATATTTATTTTCGGCTAACGTTTCGACGTCTTCGTCTTCCTCAGAGCCGGTGATCCGAGTCGATGGTCCATGCTTGTTGTTCGCCTCGACGTTGCGTCTTCGCCTTCGTGTCAAGCCAGATTTTCCTCAGTGAGCCATCTTCTCGAATGAGGCATCCTCAATCAGTGATGCCCTTTTATACACGATGCTGATGGTGGATATATAATGACAATGTCCGGTGGTAACAACTTGTATTTCTTCCGGACATACATCATTGTGCACATCGTGCAGAGGTCGGTGCATTATCAGCTAGCACAAAGCGTAGTAATATTTCGAAACCGACCTTCCCTAAACCTCGGTGTGACTAATCAATATGTATTCTTCAAATCTCAAGTACTACACGAACCCACATTCGATCCTGAATACATTCATGAATGGCGAATGGAGAACAACGAATCAAGCGAAAAATATGTGAAATCCGACCATAGATAAATAAGAATCCCTTTCATCGTTGAGCTTACTGTGAGCTATGAAGCGTGCAAATTAGATTTCAGGAAGAACGATCAATGTTTTTTCGCAGCCATTACAAACATATTAGATCGCAATTATGACTGAGTGCCCTATTCGTACTAAAACAGTCAATTAGCATCTTTTCGCCTCAGTTTTTCATTGCTTAATGTTACGCCAATTTTTTTTGGATTCGAAGAGCTTATGCATCATTAAGGACTATCCGCCAATGAAAGGTTACGTTCGTGCAGTCTCAATACTGTCGGCATATCTCATTCGGCCGTTGAAAGATGACGGTTGCCAGATTATCTACCTCAGTCATTCCGATCCCAAAGGTACGAGTTGAGTTGTTTTTCTTTTTAATATTGCAAACTATTCCCATTACAAAGTGTGTGTAGCGCAACGATTAGATGCGCACTGCAATACACACACAGTCATTGGTTCGTTCCTGCTCCAGTGTGCAAAAAAACTTGATATGTTGATAAGACGCTGTAAGCCACTATAAACATATTCGCAATCCTTCTAAGGTACTGGTCAAGGTCAGTGCTTCAATCCTTATCCTTAACGTTGACCAGCCATCAATTTCCCTCGACAATATTGCCGCATTCCTTCAAAAAAAAATGAATAGAAACATCAATGATGCTGAGATATTTGCACTCCGGACCGCAGGTGTATGCGGTAGGGAACGAACGCGCTATTGTCCTTTCCGGGGAGTAACGCGTTCACCACCACACCATATGGGTCCTTATATTTCGCAGTATACCCTGCCATCAAAAAGAGTAGGGAGTAAATAAAACGGTTAAGATTGTGAATAGAAACACTTCATGTTCCTCAATATGGCCGGTGGCTGAGTAGGAGTGGACTCCTATGGCTAAATAAGCCAGGACATCCTACCGCACTCTATCCCATTAACGTACTCATATACTCATTGTTGCCTGTCTATTTTTAGTATCATTTTTCCTATGGGAGCATTTTAGGCAACACTTTTGTCCCACTGCGCAATCCTCGTGCTTTTGCTACGATTGTGAGAAACTGTGTAAATGTCCACGGAATGATGAAATTCACTGTTTTGTTTGTAGGTACTCTTCCTCCTTGGTTAGTAAATTACTTAACACGAGTGGTAGCTCCTAAAGTTGTAAAGAAACTTCACAAAGCTTGTTTATCGTATACGCAATGGAAGCAGAATAATCAACCAAATTTCAAGCCATGGATCTATCCAGAGCAACAGGTATGTAGATCTACATTTACATAAAATTACATTAGTATTTACTCGATTAAATACAACAATTCAATAAATCTTCTTACCTTGTTGATAACGAGGAGATATACGAATAGTCATCACATCATTGTTGTTAATACCACCCCTTCGAGGCTTGGATGGCCCGTCCCCACTGGTTGTGCGGGCCCCGGCATGAGCTCCATTTTTTTCAAAATTTTGCTGGCTTAGACATTGTGGTTTCTGGAGTCGCGGGCTCAGTCTGGCCAAAGTTTGCCTCGGGTCGTCACCACCACAGACAGTCGCAGCCCTTATGGATCAGAAGGAGATTTGCCACCATGCGACTAGTTTCATACCAGAACAGTGGTGGATCCCGGTATTGGTTTATTCTTAGCTAGGCTTCCTTATAGAAACGCCGGACTCCTTATCAGCTTGGGAGACCTTGCCGGGGAGACCATCACCTCGCTGTACATCTCAGTCCGACACCCAGGAACATCACCCAGCCACGATGAGGCGTTAAACCGTTATGAGGAATGAACATCATAATTTAATGAACAGACTAAGACATAAAAAACAGAATAAAGTTATAAGAATGAAATACATGGGAATGAAAATAGGAAATAGGATTTCACTAGGAATGAGATTCGGGAATGCTAGTGAAGTTTCATCGTCTCAAAAAAGGCAAGGAACATCTGCAAAGTCCTAATGAAAACGGATTTACAGAGATCAGAAGTTTAATAACATCGTAGGCGAATGGTACTTGATTTGTTCGTCTTCATCACTAATCGTCATTTTAAAACAATCTTTGCCAACCAACATGCTCTCTCTTGCAGAAAAATTTTTACTATTTAAATCATGTAAATAGGACATAAAGATTCTTCAGCCGTTTTGTGAAAACTTTTTAGAATTTGTTCTGCGGAAGCTGCCCAGATCGTCTAGATGTAAACAAAAAGAAACGGAATGAGTTAACGCTTTACTAACGACTTCTCAAATTGAAAGCGACAAATTTGTGGCGCCAGCAATCACAAAAGATTCCATGTTCGTGAACGTTTCGCTTATTAGCGAATATTTCAACGCGTTCAACACTTTCTTTGTCGTAGGATTCAATGGAGACGTTTTCTTTTCTAAAGACGAAAAGCCGTTGGAGTTACAGACAGACTCACGGTTTCTACAACTCTCGCACTGCACTCTCGCCTTCATTAAAGTTTTAATAAGTTCTCTATAAGCTTTCCTTCCATTCGATTTCTAGCGATCTCGCACTGTTTTCCCTTTTTTTTGAGGCCAGGTTAAAGCGAAGTCCTTTCCCACACCAGAAGTAGCAGGACGCGTTTGACAACGTCCCGAACTGCTGTTTTGTGCCTTCGAATTCAATTATAATTACAGATACACAAAAACACATGCTTAACGGAATAAATCGAGTTCCATATAGCGGAATCGCCTGCATTATTAAATGTGATCTGAAAAAAAACCAAAATTATGGCTGCAGCTCGTGCGATTCCACGCTGGCGTATCAGCACGAGTATTTCTGGAGACAAACGTCTTGGTGACCTTCGAACTCTCAGCTTTCATAGCGCTAACGTGAAGATGTTAAATAAACCGATCGTGTTCCTCGTCGATGTTATCGAGAGCAGCGTTCTCTCCCCAGCAGCCAAATAATTAACTGAATAAATCCCAGTTTATGATGGCTTCGGAGCTTCGTTTTTTGAATTCAGCGGTATTGATACACTTATCGATTAACTTGTACCCACAATCAATATGTCTTTCTTATTCTATTGTATTTCTCATTGGATAACGTCCTAGTTTAAGCTACAAGGTATGGCGTTATATTGACTATTACAAGACAGAGAGATTTATTTCAGGCGGAATATCCTCGTGTAGATTTGACGAAATGCGAGCCACAGGAATACCAACAGGAGATAATTGACGAATCAAATAAAAGTCCAGTTAGTACAATTATCAATGACGAAGACGAAGACGACTAGCTCTTCAGCTTTCTGCTGTTTATCACATACTTCGATTTATCATTTAGCAGATTGCGTAGGCCGCCTTCGAGTTCTGGTATTGAAATTAAGACTTGGATTGATTGTGTACAAAGTGTAAGTATTGATTAAATCGCTTGCATTCCTAATTTGTATTTGACGCAATCAATACTTATCCTTCATGTGCAATGTACACCAACCATGACCTATGAGAAAAAAACTGATTGTCGATTATATTGTCCTGAATACTCAAGCACGTATCAAAAATAACACCTCCTCTTCCAACGATCACTGTTTCTCGAATCCTTATCAACTGGTCAATCAATTTCGTGGGTCTAATTGTGATATTAATATTTATAGTTCAACTCTTCACTATTTGTTGTAAAATTTCAATAAATTTTTGAGACAACTCTTCATTTAATTGCTCAGGAACGTTATTGAGCACGTAATGATGTAAATAGTACCACTAATAGGCTAAACTTAGCGGCCATTGAGGACATAGACCTAAATATGAGACAAACAAGTCCGAAAGGAATTTTGCCTTCCAACTAGAAACACACCGACTGTATTGTCTTACTAACCCTCGTTTATGGGCTTACACTAAATTGTGCACTATTATTTTGTTGGCCAATTGTGGTGGCCAATCGAGATTAGGTCGTTTCAAGGACAACTTAATTATATCTGAACTGTCGCAATCGAACCATCTTCGCCAACACAGTACAAATTGTCTCAACACGGAGAAATTCTAAGCTCAAAGTTTCTTCATCCTCTTCTTGCTGTCGAGTCCACCCCTTCGAAGAGCAGAGCGCTTGTTAAGTAGGCTTTCTTAGAATAGAAAAAAGATGCTGCTGGCTGTAACAATTGCTGTGGTCATGTTAAGACTCAAAGAGTCGTAGTATTCAAGCAAGTTTAATATTTAAAAGACGTGTTTGCAACCTCGCTTTGGCTGGTTAGGACCAATGAATAAGAACACACTAACCCACTTAAATACAACCGTGTAGGGGTTACGTTCTTATCCTAAGTTTTCGTTTTAAACTATCGTTTGTTATTACAATGTCTTTACTCCCACCTATTGACTATTCTTTTTTCATGGCAGCATACAATGTGAACTGCAACCACAAGGGTGCTGAGACATGAGCAAATCTCGAAACCGCAACTAAGCTTCGAACTCTCGATCACTCTTCCGGAGGGATCTTGTGCTATCCACCACATCGATCGAAGCCTTTGCATTATCTTTCTCTCAGCTAGTTTTCTAACTCTAAGGCCACTTAAAGCTTCAAGTTTTGATTTCGATTGGTCACCAAAGTGGCTCCGGATAGATGCATAATTTGGCGTTGATGTATAATTCTGGTTAATTTCCTCAGGAATTGCAATCTCCACATACAACTATTATCCCGATAACCCAAGAATTCGTCGCTGATGGCACTACAGTTGTCGAAACTATGTTTTTTTAAGCCACAATGGTGCTGAGATATTTGCAAAACTCCGTGAAGGCAGGTGTATGCGGTGGTGATCGACCGCGCTATTACCTTTTCCGGGGGCTGACGCGTTCACCACTACACCATGCGGGTCCTACGTTTCGCCATTTCTCAGTCGTGCTCAATTTATACGTGCTACCAGCTATCACCCGTCAACGGGTTTGATCTCACACACATCGGCACTGAACCTACGATAACGTGCTCGCTCCCCACTGCAGGTACCTGCGGTCTGGAGTTTTGCAAATATTTCAGCGTCATCGTGATTGTATTTCATATAATGCCTTGCCATGAAAAAAGAATGGGCAGCAAATAAAATGTGTTTACATTGCTCATCACATTAGTAAGGACGTTGACATTCTTACAATCTAAACTGGTCTATTTATTACCGAAGTATTCCATGAGACCTAGAGCAGACATTGCTGTACCAATAATGCCATTCTGTACACGAAATCGCCGTTCCTTTCCTACCCAGACCTATCAAGCCTACCATAACTTTGGGGTCAGGAAACTGGTATCAGACTCGTCTAGGACTATCTGGTTAACCAGTACCCACAAAGGATGGCGCGTACGTGCTCAAACACGGCTCTCCTTGGAACTGATAGAGAATCGAAACGAGCAGCATTCGACGACCTTCTTGAGGAAGACCAAAAATCATCAAGCAGTAGCCGAACCTACACGGGAAAGCTGCAAGACCTTCGTGGATAACGGATGCAAGGAAAAAACAGTGGAAGAAGTGCTGCGATCTGCACAATGTAGACGTGATAACTGGTCATGTAAAATATGTAGATAAAAGTAGCACTATTTCGGACAACTATAGCTCACAACAGAGGTTTGTATAGGAAATGATGGCACTTTTACAATCCACGTTATTAGCGAGACTACAAATAATGCAGGAAACGATGGCTATTTCTGGATACCTGGATACTTGGGCGGTCCGCCTTCACGAGTTGCGCGGACCCAGCACATTTGTCATTCTTTTGGCTTTAGCTCTATTTAGCTATTTCTCAGACACATAAATTTTGTGCAAGATTTTACCCCTTTTATAGTGACAAATTTATATTCAGACCTATTTCTAACACGATTGTCTACGTACTCCTTGAATGACACACCACTATAACACAATTGGAACCAAAGAAATTTACTGTCCTAAGGTATAACTTTTTATTCACTGCCTATTATTTTTTCATGGGAAGATATTCTGTGAAGTACAAGCGCAATGGTACTCAGACATTTACAAAACACGGAGACCAGCCGAGATTCTCAGTGGTGTAGTGGGTAATACGCGAGCCTTTGGAAAGGGTAATCATGGGTTCAAATCTGGTCTGGGTCTGACTTTCGCAAATATCTTAGCATCGTCAGCTTTCTATTTACTGTCCATTACAATTTTTCACGGCATGGTATTATGTGTGATACAACCACAATGATACTGAGATATCTGCAAAATCCGGACCGCAGATGCCTGCGATGGGGAACGAACGTGCTATTACCCTTTCCGGGGGCTAACGCTCTCTCATCTAGTTTTTTATCGATCGACTATAGCCTCACTTTACTGGGTTCATTGCCGATTTAGGCTCCCTAGGTCAATCCTGTTGACAGGTGATTGCTGATGGCACTGGCAGATAGAAAACTGGCTGAGAGAAAGGCGAAATGAAGGGCGCATGGTGTCGTGGAGAACGCGTTAGCCTCGGGAAAGGGTAACAGCGTATCCGATCACCACCGCAGACACCTGCCGCACGGAGTTTTGCAAATCTTTCAGCATCATTGTCGTTGTCCTAGAGTTTCAGCTGGAGATGTGTTGGTGGGTCCTGAGAGGAATTAGCGCACATGCGCGGCCGACCCTGGTCATTTCGAGTACTGCTGGTATCACAGAGCTAGTCAGTCGTATTCCGCCTTGTAGAAATTCTTCACCGATGGTGCTCTTCATTAACAAGCAATAGTCTCTGAGTTATCGTGCTCTGACGTTGTTGAGACGTGTACGTTTCCCCTTTGATCTCGAGTTATCTCGATTCCAGAAGATGACCCTCCACTCCCGCAACTTGGCTGCTGCTGTTTCAATCGGTCTGCGAAGTATACGTCACTCTAGCTCACAGCCAAAGGTTTCCTTTCTTTTATATGTTTTCTTCCAACGATGTTCCCTTTAGAATACTTCCTTTTTATTCATTCATTCATTCATTATTCCTCTCTTTTTCTTGAATGTACATGCGGTATGAGCACTGGTTAATTACAAAATGCTAAGAGAAGTTCGAGGTTTTTCGAGAAAAGTAGAAACTGGGAAACGTGGAAAAGGATCATTCTGACGTACTAACACAGCAGCGATTAGGGTAAAGCCGTGGAAGAACGTATTGAGGTCTTATTCGAGGTACAACAGTAGTGTATTTTTAGTGTATTTCAGCCTTTGTTCCTAATAACTACTTCTCCACGATCCACGATTTCACTGCTTTTGTCATCTTCTACCTGTTCACTTTAGTTTCATGGTTCTTCTTTTTTCACCTAAGGTTGCTCTTCTGGGTGCTTCTGGCGGTATCGGCCAACCACTCGGTCTTCTTCTGAAGCAGGACGTTCTGGTGAAACACCTTGCTCTCTATGACGTTGTTGGAACTCCTGGAGTTGCGGCTGATCTCTCGCACATTGACAGCGCTGCCAGAGTTCGTCCTTCTTTTTTTGTTGTTTGCTCTTTCATGCAGTAAATTCCTTGTGAAGGTTTTTGTAACTCTAATCTCTTACTATTTGTCAGGTTACTGCCCATACTGGCCACAATGAACTTGCAGCTGCAGTTTCCGGTGCTGACGTCGTCATAATTCCTGCTGGAGTTCCTCGTAAACCTGGCATGACCCGTGATGATCTCTTCAATACAAATGCTGGAATCGTTCGTGAACTAGTTGATGTCATCGCTGTTGAAGCTCCGAAAGTTTGTTGAGAAATACGTTCGTGTTTCTTTTGGAAGGCGAATTTTGAATGGGAGTTTCCTATTCGAAGCTATAGCTTAGCAAAGTCCTGATTTTTTCAAATCTGTACTTTTAAGATATTTAGAAAAGTTATCGATAGTTTACCGTAATGCTGTTACGTTATTACGTCGTTACATGTATTTCATTCTTATAACTTTATTCTGCTTTTTATGTCTTAGTCTGTTCATTAAATTATGATGTTCATTCCTCCCAACGGTTTACCGCCTCGTCGTGGCTGGGAGGTGTTGCTGGATGTCAAGCTGCGATGTATAGCGGGGGAATCCAACTCAGCAGGGTCTCGTGGTTTACCGCTTCGTCATGGCTGAGAAGGAGTCCAGCGTTTCCATCAGGAAGTCTAACTAAGTGTAAATCACTATTAGGATCCACCACCGTCATGGTATCATAGTAGTCGCATGGTGGCAATTTCCACCCGATGCACAAACGCAGCGACTGCCCGACGTGGTGACGACCTAGGGCAGACTTTGACCACGTTGACCTCGGGACTGTGGGGAACCACAATGACTAAACTAGTGAAACTCCGAGAAAATAGAGACTATGCTGGGGCCCGAACAACTAGTGAAGACGGGCCATCCAGGCAAGTAGGTTACTAAGTAAGTCTCTTCATTAGGTTAGTATATTTTAAATCAAATTTTTCCAATGTGCGGTGCGAAGACTCTGGCTAGTAACTACTGATGATGTTAAAACAAATGCATGCGTGAATGGAATACTTTTGATGTCAAGACCGACGGTTGTGCTGCATTTTAGGCAATGATTGCGATAATTACGAACCCTGTGAATTCGACGGTACCAATTGCATCAGAAGTGATGAAGAAGAACGGTGTGTATGATAGGCGTCGTATTTTTGGAGTTACCACTCTTGATATTCTTCGCGCGCAGACTTTTGTAGCCGAGTTGAAGGTATTTGTTCTCTACTTTACCATGAAATAGGCCCTAATGTGACATCTAACGTTTTCGATTACTTAAAACTTCCTTCATATGATTTTCTAGTAATGGCTACTGGTTTTCTTTTCATGACATAAGGGATTTCACCCAATTCTGTACGCTGAGATATGTCTCCATTGCCAGTAGCTACGGCGATGTTAACTTCAAGTTTTGTATCAATTAACAATATATTTGTTGATTTCATCTTACACGTTTTAATATGTAAATCTCTGTATTTCAGGGGCTTGATGTAACTAAGACTGTTGTTCCAGTCGTCGGAGGCCATGCCGGAACCACTATTATTCCTCTACTTTCACAGGTCAGGATATTGTCAGTTTGTCATTTGGAATTCTCTATGTCGTATGTACGTACATTTGTCTTCATCTATGAACTGTTCAGGTCACTCCGAAAGTAAGCTTCACCGAAGATGAAGTCATGAAGTTGACCCCAAAAATTCAAGATGCTGGAACGGAGGTTGTTAAGGCGAAAGCTGGAGCTGTAAGTGTTGTTTTTAAGAATTCATTGCTCTTCGTTATCTGTCGCTGTTGTTCTTCTTTACCTTTTAGTTTTCTCTTTCTTTGTATTCCTAAGGAAAAGCGTTATGAATATTTCGCTTCCTCAATTTTAAAACTACGTACTGCTAGGGTTCTGCTACTCTTTCAATGGCTGTTGCTGGAGCACGATTTGCTAATGCACTACTGCGAGCGGTCAAGGGTGAGAAGAATGTCCAATGTTCTTATGTTGCATCAGATGCAGTGAAAGGTGTCGAATATTTCTCCACTCCCGTTGAGTTGGGACCGAACGGTGTCGAAAAGATACTTGGTGTTGGAAAGGTCTATTTTGCATCTCATTCTATCATTAATGACGTTTTTTTTCCACAATCATTGTATCTAATATATACCCAATCATTTTAGGTAAGCCCATTCGAGCAAGAACTCATTAATTCAGCCGTTGCTGAGTTGAACAAGAACATCTCGAAAGGTGTTTCGTTCGTCAAGGGAAATTAGTCGTCAAGTCTTAGTTTCTTCTGGCGTAGTAACCTTTTCATTTATGTTGTTTTACGGTTGTATTCAGATCATATTTATATTAAAGATGTCCTATTGCGTTTCATTTCATCTTTGTTAGTGTAGCTATCAGTTACTGGCTTTTCAAAGAATTTAAGTTGGAAGTTGTATATACTTCATGCTTGGGTAACATCTCTAGGACAACGTTTTATGAGCTCAAATATACAAAAATGTGCTTTCCCTAAAGCGTTTGGTGCATCAACACTCTTAGGGTACGCATTTTAAATGCCTTTAGTAAGCTAGTCTTTGGAGTTATATTGGTTCTTTCTCTTAAGACCATTTGCAGATTAGTGTTGCTTTTACTAGTTGCAATACACATCTTAGAATGAGTAGTGTTACTTAAAGTTATGGTTTCAAGTATTAAAGTGGGAATACTTTCCTTTCCTAGTGAGGTTATGTTGCGGCGGTTTACACCATGTCCGAGTGTCTTTCAAACATTTCGGGTTCTGTCAAGTGAAAGTAGTGGTGATTCAAAGAAGGTATGTTGTCTACTGCCTATTTTTTTTATTTCCCAGAGGACATATTTTGGGAGTATGTAGCGTTTGCCAAGTGTGTTTTTAAACGAAGCTAAAACTGCATATGAAGTCGGAGTCCATGCCCGGAAATGCTTTTGTTCAGTAGAGCACGTCCACTTTTGATCTATACCTTGTTGCCATGACCATTTTATAGCAGATGAACTGGAGATGTCATATGGTGGGGTTGTTTTCTACGGGAGTGTTGTAGCGATGGGAGTGAACATTGAGTGGGAGGAATATTTCTGAACCCAGTGGTCTTCGTGGTTTTTTATTCCTATGGGTCATTATGAAGCTCCTAATAAAGTAATTTGAAGTGAACGTTAGAAATTAGGTGTGTTTCCCACGGAAGATTATGGTCCACTATCTACCACTAGGTAGCGCGTTTTCCTGCCTTTATGCTATTTGTGTGGGCTCATGTGGCGCTGTGGTCGGAGGTGCCCTGCAACACACGTGGAATCGGTCCTCGAGCCCATGGCCCACTAAGCCTTCCATCCCTCCGGGGCGGCAAATTGGTACCAGCCTTGCCTGGGAGGATAGCGGCACTGGCTCGATACACTAGTAGGCCACCGCGAGTCATGTCATTGTAAAGGCTAAAAATATAATTTCAATCGCCTCCAAACGATGATTAGTGATGTCGAATGCATGGCGCATCCCTCAGGGATTGACCAACGCCGAAAGCTTTATCCTTTTCTTTATGACACTTGTATCGGGTAACCGTATTCTGCGACCGTTGTTCTGAAAAAGTAAATTGTTGGATGGACATTGTAAGCCGTACTTTCCAGTCCTGAATTTTAAAAATCACCCGGAATTTGGTACGATCTACATCATCAAGGGAGCGGGTAAGGGTGATGTTGCACTTTTTCAAAAGAAAAAATTTTTTCAAGACGAATTTGCTCCGAACAAGGGAACGAGCGGCGCGTGGTAGCGGTGACATTCGTTACGAGAAAGATCCTGTTTCAGTTCCACTTCAGGACCACAGAGTCTCATTCCTCTACGATCGGGAAATTGGCACTAGTCTTTTCTGAGGTCAGCTGTTCACCTCTAGTTCATGTGTCAACGCCCTATTACAGGTTTACAAAGAGGGTGGAATCAAAATCATTCTGTGGCATTCATAACCAAGGTGAAAATCCTCAGACAACGGCCCAACCTATACGCAAAAGTTAGAAGACCGTGCATGATGGAGACGAGGAAGTAAATGAAATCTAAGAAGTGCTGGGATCCGCACAACATGAGATGTGGGGTTATATAAAAGCTGGTAGCGCAATTCTATGGCGTAGTCTTGTCTGATTAGTCGGAGGTAGGTTAGTTTTCGTGTATTCGGAGAAATTCTAGCCTGTCCTAGTTTTGGTGGTGAGCTCACTATTATATTATCACCTCAGCAAGCTCTCGTAATTGTCACTAGTATCGTCTTTGACTGAGGACTTACTTTGGAAATTTGGAAAAACTCCTGTCTCCCGTTATCATTCTGTGATCTTGTTCATAAGTTGGTATTGTCTGAGCTATTATACATAAGTCTTGTTGTTGTTTTGGTTTTCAGGAGCCACTCGGTATTTACTTGGATACTTGGGCGACCCGTCCTCACCAGTTGCGCGGACCCTAGCATAATCTCCATTTTTGGGAGTTTTACTGGTTTAACTATTCTGTTTCCCTGGAGTCCCGAGGTCAGCCTAGTCAAAGTCTGGCCCAGGTCTTCACCACCACAGGCAGTCGCAACCATTGTGGATCAAAGGGAGATATGCCACCGTCCGACTGGTTTGATACCAGGACGGTGGTCGATCCTGGTATTGGTTGCCACTCGATGCTTGGTAAAATAAATCAATATTGAGAAGTAAAGATTTTTGCAGCCGGCGGCTGTCAGCCCAAAAGATGTGCTTGGTGATGAGCTTCTTGATGCAGTGAACTCTGTTGCTGATGACTTACATATGAAAGATTCGTCGGCAAAGAAAGCGTATGCATTGCTAGTTAGTTTCTTTGATGTCGTTATTTCTTTTTAATTTATTGTTGTTGTAGCACTAGAAATACTTTGATCTCGAAATTGATGTCTTATGAAAAGGATACTTTCAACGAGGCAACTTCTGCCCAGATGCAGGAGATGCTTAGTGACAAAAAAGTCCAAGCCCTGCTAAATTCTGTAGCAGCCGATGCAAAAACGTCAGGTATCGTAGTTAACAAGTAAGCGTTGCAGACTCTGTCAACTTTCATCTCTTTTCTAACACTTGCACTTCTACCCAGAATGTTGATGTTTTAGAGGCGCTCAAATTCGTCAGGAGCGCCGTGGATTATTGTTATTAAGAAGAGAAATTTTCTACCAAGCAGTTCAGGTAAATGTTTCCGATTCACAATTTTTGACTAAGAGAGTGAAATACACCACAAAGATGCTGAGGCATTTGCAAAACTTGAACGCCAAGCCAGATTCGAACACGCGATTTCCTTTCCTGCGGTCTATGTGTTACTCACGGCCTTGCTTTGCTTTCTCTCAGCCAATTTTTGACCATAACTGTGCCATCAGCAATCACTCGTTACCGGAATTGATCTGAGGAATACAAATCAGCATTGGACCCTGTTAGTCTGAGGCTGCAATTAGAATCACAAATGTACAACTTTGTATTTACTGCTCATTATTTTTTCACGGCGGCTTAACTGGGTGCAATGGCGATCTATGCTCTCCAGAACATTCCGATTAGCAGGTGATTGCTGATGGAACCGTCAGGTAGAAAACTCGTTGAGGGAAGAGCAACACAAGAGCTTCAGTGGTGTAGTGGGTAACACATAAGCCCTTGGAAAGAATAGTATCTCAGCATCATTGTAGTTGTATTTCACCTGATACCCTGGAGTGAAAAAAGTATTAGGTAGCAAATTAAAAAGTGGATTATCTCGTATTTCTCGTGTCACTTTCCTGATTAGGGAGCGTTTAGGAATCTCTCGAAGCCTGATCTATTATGGTTATATGCATACATATATACTTATATATACATTGGTTTCGAAGAAGTTATCAAGTATCAAGTATAATTGAACTCCTTCACACCAGTTTGAATAAAGCAGTACTATTCTACTGGATTATCATGTGTACAGCACTGTGGATTGGGAAATCGTGTTTACGATAATTACTTGGCTCTAAAAATTTCGGATTACTTTTGAGAATTCTTCATAAATTTGAAGAACATGTCACTACAACTATATCTTGAAGTAACTCCCACAACCGACTTTCAACTAACGTCGGCATTGATCAAGTAATTCTTCGTATTTTTGTTGAACAAACGCGAGGTGTTATTGTTCTTTATTCACGAATAACCTGACGTTTCGGCGGATTTCGCCTTCCTCAGAGCCTGGAAAGGTCAAGTTGACAGCAATCTACTCGGCCAGACGCCTCCATAACCAAGCAAAGAAACTCTAAATCAACAAAATTTCAATCACGTTGAACACAGCTTTGCACACTCACCGCTTTCTATGAGGTTTCCACTAAGTATGTCACGTAGAGACCAACCGCACAGAATCCTACCCTTCATCTCAAATGATATAAGTACAGCTATAAAACGCTGCTTGAGATGGGCGGGCTTAGAGAATTCTGTAAGCGTAGTTGAAATACCACCGAGTAATCTTAAGCGCCAGCTAGTTCGTAACCGTCTATATGGGTCTATGTGCAACTCAAAATTGCATAATTTGCCCCAGTGGTAGAGACGGTGATTGCATGAGCTCGGGTATAGTTTATCTGTAAGACGTGCGGTGACGAATACATTGGCGAAACGGGTAGACCCCTCTGTGTCCGCATAAAAGAACACCTAGTCGGCAAACATAGACCAAATACACCGCTAGGCACGCATAGGACCCAGAGACATAACGGAGACGACTTCGAAGTATGTGTCAAGATCCTAGCACGCGAATCAAGAACACAGGCGCGAAAAACTCTCGAGGCATTCTGGATTAACTCCAGAAATCCGAAAATGAACCGCAGGGAAGAATGCCTCATTATCACGCGTGATATAGGGCAGTATATAAGATTGCTATTCTGATGGGAGGGGCACATTATACTTCCATGTAATTTCTGTGCGGTTGGTCTCTACGTGACATAGTGGAAACTTCATAGAAAGCGGTGAGTGTGCAAAGCTGTGTTCAACGTGATTGAAATCTTGGTTTAGAGTTTCTTTGCTTGGTTATGGAGGCGTCTGGCCGAGTAGATTGCTGTCAACTTGACCTTTCCAGGCTCTGAGGAAGGCGAAATCCGCCGAAACGTCAGCTTATTCGTGAATAAAGAACAATAACACCTCGCGTTTGCTCAACAAAAATACGAAAAATTACTATATCTTGATTTAAGTTTTGCTTTAAAATTACATGGTAGTTAACTTTGCATAATTTTTGACAGTGAAAATTGGCTGACCCATTGTTATATTCTGTTATAGCCAACAAAAGACATCCCCAGCTTTGGTAGAAATGTCATGGCAGGTTGTGAAGTACTTTCCAATGTTGTCGTAGTGCAGAATGCTTCAAAAGCCACACCCAGATGAACTATTTTTTAAGTACTTGGGATCCAGATGGTGGTTTCAAGGTGGTTTGGTAGCTGTTTTATGGATGTTAGACATGCTAGCTATAAGAACTGTAAAATAGAGGAGAACAAAATGCAGGCAGTTTGTTTCAGAATGTTTTGAACCTACGAAGGGCTAACGTTGGGATTTTCTATTAATCGATAGCAATAGATATTCTAAATTTAACAACAAAAATAATCTAATACAAACCAGCAACGAGGCTACGTGGTGCTTTAGGCGCAAATCACATATTTCTGTTCTTGATTTTCAGAGTGGCTTGAAAGCCGCGGAGGCACAGAAGGTAGCTGAAAATGCTGTCGCTGAAGCTCATGAGAAGTTAGCGGCTCGACGAAAATTACAGTTAGAAGGACAGCAGGTCTGTGTTATTGCCAAAGGTAGCATTCTGACAAAACTTCCTTTTCTGCTTGATATAATCTTTCTTGCCCTACATTTTGGCCATCTATTTGAATGCGATTGTCTTAGTTCTCGTATTTTTATTGCAAAAGTCTTATATTTGCAGTTATCGGAAGAAACTGATCGAAGGCAAAAGGTGGAAAGAGCTGAATCTGAGCAAAAATTTTATGATTATGCGCTACAAATGGCTGAGTTAGTATATCTTTCTAATTTTTTTTAATAGGGTTAATATTCATCCTTATGAATGTGTTTTATGTTCCATGAAGCCTTGTTTCCCGCATATAATCGTTAAGTTTTAGTCGTCTGAGAATCCATAGTTACAAAATTTTGCATCAATGAACTCGAGTACTGATTTAATGATGAGTCTCGCATTATGATTTAAAAATGTCGAGGTTTTGAGGGTCGTTCACTGGTGTTTAGTCTCTTTGTTATGCTCTCTATAGTGCTAAGTTTACCTAGCTGTAGCGCTCAGGAAGGTGTGCATTTAAGTGGAATTATAAATGGCCGATCAGCTCAAAAAATGGGGCTGTGTTAGCGTACACATCAACCAGTTGTGTTGGCAGGTGGAAATGACCGCAGAATTATACTCACAGGGGTTACCATAGGCGAAACAAACGACAACAATTCGTGATCACCGCAACAGGAAGAAAACAAATAATTAGCCTTTGCTTGCACAACTTTTAAGAACCGTCCATCTGTTATATCTTTGCATATCGGTTGAATCTCTCCTTTAACTGGTTCCTGTTACAGTGGCCAACAACTAGATTGATGCAAGGGGTTTTACCAACATGGTGAGAGCAGTTTCAAGAAGTAGAATGTTTGGATGTGGTTTATTGGGTAGTCATTATATAGCAACGGAATTCTCGTTTACGATTGAAAATAAATGTTGCTTGGATGTTACTTGAAACTAATTCAGAACTCTTCTATTCATTGAGATGTGACAAAATAAGAAAGTAGTAAGTAAAGAAATTCAGATTCATGAGAATGCTTCTGCATGAATTATTTCATGTGGGTATTGAAATGATACGTGGATTTGGTTGGTAGATTACGCGTGAATATTAGACTGATACCGAAGTTTCTTCAGATTGCTCACTTTTGACTACATTATATCCACTGTAGACCTCTTTCCTTTTAATCATTTTAGGAGTAACAAAAGTTTAGACTTCGCGCCCTTTTCGTGTTTCCATTATTGGAATTATTTGGAGAGTTTCTTTTTAAAACACTTTGTTACATGGGAGTTAACCTACGATACTAACTGGACCTTGAGTGATCATGGGCGTAAACACTTCATAATATGGACACTGGACTTGGCTGACTCAGTTTGCTGTCAATGTAGAGTACAGCGTCTGTTAGGTGTTAGTCACATTTGAGCTAGAAATTGTATGAGTTGAAACGTTCTCAGTATCCATTTCTATTGTGTTGTTTCAGTGCTATTTCATGCCTATATTAATTTTGCTCTTAGAATCTCTCAGTGTTTCTTCTAATTGTAGGAAAATGTTGTTTCAAGACGACATTCTCACTGATGGGAAAAAGGTTCGCAAAACAATAGAATCGGATCCAAATGTAACATCTTTATTGAAAGGATCGAAGCGACTTGGTATATTCAAAAACTTGGAAGGATTTCAGGATAAGAGCATCGATTTTTGGTCACAGTGGGATCTGAGGGCTGCAAGGTAAGAATCATCAATTTTCCATGATTAATTCATAAAGTTCGTTATAAAGTGATTCTAATTTCTACATTATGGAAGATGTTTAAGCCTTTCAACCAAGCTTATCTAAACTCGTAGTGAACTTTACTATTTGAAAGAAAAAGCTGAAGGTCGGATTCAACAGATCCGAGATGCGACATGGATACCTACTTACTTGAATAGCTCGACTTCCCAGGTAATGTGTACCTCAGCATATTCTCCTTTCGTTTCTTTCTCGCGCAATCGTTGTCCGTGGTGGTGTTCTGCTTAGAACATGAGGTCCACAAAGCGCATTCTGTAGTCCTTAAATCGTTCCCATCTTGAATGTCGGTGGTTCACGTTAGTGGCGAACATGTCCGTCCATCGTTTGACTGGTCTTCGAAGAGGTTGCTTCTTCTTGGAGTCCACTCCACTGTTCTTTCCATCGATCTCCCATCTGCTCCTGCTGTATGACCGGCTTATCTGTGTTTTGCTACTCATGTATATCTCTGGATCTCAGAGGTGGGATTCGTTTCGAGAATCTGAGCTGCCCATTTCCACTGGGTGTGATTACCGGTTGAATTTCAGAGGACATCGTTTAAACGGTCTGTCGGTAGTGCACATATATCTTGGCGTATATACTGAAGTATAACCCCACGTTTCTGTTGCATAACAGAACGCTGGAAGGACTGTTGAATCGGAAAGGTGAGCGCCGAGTTTTAGGTCCGCTTGGTCGGTGACTTCTTGGAGTGACCTGAATGCGGTGTGAGTGATGACATGTAAGGTTGTTGAGATGCTAGGTCGCACGTCCTAAGTTAGCGGATAAAAGGGTAAACCTCTATGTATTGATCAATCCCTGAAGGATCTGCCATGCACTCGACTTCATCAAGCATCATGGGAGGTGAATAAATGCATATCTGGCTTATACAATGACTTCTGGTTTCTTACTAATCTGTTGAGTCAGTGCTGCTCTCCTCGCAGACAAGTCGGGTATCAATATACTGATCTCGGAGTGATGGAAGGCTTGATGAACCTTGGACACCGAGTATATCCGTTGTAGGAATCCTCTAACCACTGCACTACACGCGCGAGTTCACGTATAGTTGGTTTCAAACGCGAACTAGAACCTGTGTACTTGTCCTGTGAGTAAGGTTTATTCTGTAAATGGGTTACTTTATCTGTGACACAACCTGTGTATCCTGGCTAAAAACGGCGAAAACAATAGAGATAAAATAAAAGATGTGAGGGGGCTTCTCGTGCCCCGTTAATATGTAGAGCTCACTGATTCGTTACGGTGTGTAGAAAAGTGTGAACGGAGATTTTCTTGATGCCTACACGAATGGTTGAATAATAATCAACGCGATTCCAAGCTATTATACATTCGTGCATTTGAAATCCCTCTAAGTGTTTTAGGTTGTCATTAGTGGCAGTTTACGCGAAAACTACTAGTGTTTCACTTCTGCGCATTTAATTAGTGAAATAATTCAGAATCTTTAACCAGTCACTTGGACCGGAGAACTCTTTCGAGGAGCAGATACAGTGGACAGAGGATGGAAAACAATGGCCATATCCTATCGACAATGAGTATATGTTCGGATCTGAAGCTGAGGTTTCTCCATATTAAATTTTTGCGTTGTACTATCTGTTGGCCACTTTTCCACATAGGTGTTCCTCTTTTGTAGTAACTTTAATACTTTAATACTAATTTTTATTTGCTGCCTATTCTCCTGCCTATTGTTTTTTAGTGGCAGGATACAATATGAAATATAGCCCCATAATTACGTTGAGATATTTGCAAAACTCCGAACCACTGGTTTCTGCGATGAGGAACAAACAGGTTTTTACCCTTTCCGGAAGCTAACGCGTCCACCACCACACCATGCGCGTCGTTCATTTCGCCTTTCTGTTAGTTTTCCAAGTCAATGAAAAAGCAACGAAAATTACTAATAGTTAGGATTTTCTGTCTACAAAAAGTCAACTGCTTTTAGGTGCCGTTCTATGAGCACATCTTCCTTGAGAGACATCTTCCCGGGCTTGGAATACCCAAGGACGGTCCTATTGCTCATTTTATGGAACTGGTTAGTCATTTAAGACCCTGTTTTATTTTAAGTACGATCGTGACAATATTACATCGTCCTCATAGCAGTTTTATAGTCAGAATCCGTTTAGGTGTGCGTAGGCTTGTCAAAGAATCCTTATATGACTGCAGCGAAGAAAATGGAACACCTTCAATGGTTCGCCAATTTCTTCAATAAAGAGAAACAAGCGCTTATCGAAAAATTGCATCAGGAGGAGCAACTAGCCTCGCAACATTCATAGTTGCAGTATTCGTGTGGCCATCACTCATTTATTGTATTTAAACCAATTTCACACTGTCAGATTATTACTTATAATTTCGTTTCCTTATATTACAAAGGTTGTTGTGTATATTTAAATAATTTATTAAAGTCCCAGCGGAGTATTGTTTGTGGATATTTTGCAAAACAAAGTTACATCTTTGAGTAGAGAATTTCTCCGAAGACTCTAGTGGTGTTGTATGGAAGCAGATCAGTGCTACAAACTTTTAACTCTTCATGTTAGCTTTACCGTGGTTGGTTCATGTTTCAGTAGTGTTTTCAAGTTGACCTATCCAGAATGTTAATACAAAGTTAAAATAAAATTCCAAGTTTGTTGAGTTCGAGATTTTTAAAAGGTTTGAAATGTTGTAGAGTTGTCGATTATGTTAAGCATAGTTGAAATCAAAAAATTGTGCTGACTCATAACACGCAGTATGAAGAACACAATGCCCATTTTGGTGTCAGTGGGTTCTAGGATTTTTTCTTTCACTGTACTATACGTATTTATCCGATTGCTAGTCGAGAGCAGAAGGAAATAGGAGTGGAACTAGAAAAGCCATTTTCTACACTTGATTTGTGAAGAGACTTTTTCGGGAAAGTTCTTGACCGCTACTTTGACAATAAATTGAGTAGTTCCGATGACTCGCTTTCGGTGGTTTCGCCTTCTTCAGACCCTGGAAAGGTTAAATTGACATGAAATCTATCCAGTCAAAAACTTTCATAACCTTAGCAGATGAGACTTAATGCAGTAATTTGCATTCGCCTAATAAACAGTTTCATTTAAACACCCACCGTTCTAAGTATTCCAATTAATTTGTGGATTAATTGGTCTTTCCATGCTCTGAAGAGGGCGAAACCACCGAAACGTCAGCCATTGTACGCCAATAAATTCTATAATATCAACCTCATGCTTGCTTATCGAAGAAAAACTTTGTAATCAATGCGCAGTGGTTGGAGGTGCCACTGCGACACACACGTGGAATCGAGCCCTGCGCCCATTGGCCACCAAGCCTCCCATCCCCTCGGCTACGCAAGTTGGCACCAGATTTGTCTGGGCGGATAGCAGTACTGGCTCGATACATCGGTTGGCCACCGCGAGTCATTGTAAAGGCCAGATATGCATTCAATCACTTACAACGATACTTGATGAAGTCGAATTCATGGCGCATCCCTAAGAGATTGATGAACGCCGAGAACTTTACCCTTTGACCTTTATAGTGAATCGTTCTCTCAACGGTTTACTGCCCAATCGTGGTTAGGAAGTGTACCTAGATGTCAAAGAAAGTGCGACATACAGCGGTGGACATTATCGCCCCGAAAGAGCCTTCCAAGCGGGGAAGGAGTGCTGTGTTTCCATCAAGAAGCCCAGCTAAGAGTAAACCATTTCCAGGATCCACTACCGTCCTCGTATCAAACTAGTCGCATGGTGGCAAGTCTCCCTCCGATCTACAAGGGCGGCTACTGCCTGTGGTGGCGACGATCGGGGGCAGACTTTGGCTAGGCTGACCTCAGGGCTCCAGGGAAACAATAGCTAAATCATCAAAACTCCGAAAAATGGAGATTATGCTGAGGCCCGCACAACCAGTGAAGACGGGCCATCCAAGTATCCAAGTAAGTATTCTACAAGTTAATTCCGCCAAAACCCTGAAATCAAGTGACAAGTATATGGGAGGCGGTTACGACTCGCCTCTAACAAATAAGATCCGCATCTACTTTGGTAGCGACTGGCAAACTACCCGTAACTATACACAACCTCCACTTTCAGAGCCCAGAAGCTATACTTGGGTATTAAAAAGCTAAGCACAGCAAATGAAACAAGCGTCACTCCGCTGACCCCGAAAGAGTCCCGATTCGGTAACTTTGGTTAGGACGAGTATGCAGGGAGTGCTAAAATCCTAGGACCATTCTAGTCTGCTTAATTCGCTAAGGCCTAAGATGACGATTTGTACCTGCAATGTACGCACACTTGCATCCGAGTCCTCGACTCGATAGAAGACTTGCTCATGCAAGCAAGAAGGATAAAGTACGACGTCATCGGCCTGGCCAAGACGAGAAGACGCCAGCCTTTCAACGCCGTCCATGACACCGGAGAACTGTTCTCCAGAACATGCGACAACAGAGGAGTCGACGGCGTCGGCGTTCTCGTCAACACGAGTTTGTCCATGAACATCGATTCGTTCGAGCAACTAACAACCCGGATCGGGCGTCTGAGATTGAAGAGAAGTGAATCAATGCCAACCTTGACAATCTGCGTAATCTACGCATCGACTTCAAGTATGACAAAGACGAAGTCGAAGCGTTCTATACGAACTTTAAGAAGTTCTGCGAAGAACAACATGCATTATATAAGGAGATTGGGGATTTTAACGCTAAGATTGCACTCAGAGAATCTGAAGAACATCACATTGGGACCTACGGACTAGAATGGAATGAACAGGTTGGAAGGCTGTTTGAGTTTATCTTGACGGCCAAGACCATGGTAACTCGCAATACCAGAAGCCCTACCTCAACGCTGAACATGGGAGTCTTCCAATGGAGAATAACATAACGAAACAGACCACATAGTAAATCGAAGGTTTTGCCTAACCAATCTCGCTGTTGTCACAAAATTCTACACAGATTTAAACCATTATCTCCTTCGTGCAAGATTTCGTTTACTGTGGAAGGTAGGAAAACCTGCTAAATTCAAAAAACGAAGATCCAAAACCACCATAAAATGGGACTTATTCAGTTCAGTACTCGGCTATTGGGAAGATGCTGTTCTGGATTACATCGGCAAGGAATATGATCGGCTCATTCAACGTCTTCACGTTAGCGCTAAAAGAAAGCTGAGTGTTCGAAAGTCACCAGGATACGTCTGTCTCCAGAAATACTCGAGCTGATACGCCATTGTGAAATCGCACAGGCTGCAGCCAACCGCCAACCTATGCCCGAACTTGCAAAACAATGCAGATAGGCGATAAAAGAAGGTCTTAAAGAAAGAATAGCAGCAATTATGGTTGAAGCTGCAAAGGATGAGGAAAGCATTCGCAAAGTCCAACGAAGCTTTGCCAATTACAAGACCAAAATGATTGCATTCCGACACTCAAACGGAACTGTTACAGTTTTCCAGAGAAGTAATAGAGAAAGTCATCCACAACTAATACGCAGATCTCTTCAACAGCCACGTCCTCCTGTTCACATATTAAATAAAGGAGAACGGCTATGTCGTCCTATAGGCTCTGCCTTCCGAAATTCGATGTGCTATTTCGTCTCATCGGAGAACAACCGAACAACACTGATACGGGGCAGGGTAGGATCCGAACAACTGAACAACCTTCCACCAGACCTTATGAACACACTTGCTCCTCTCTTCACACGCTACTTTTCTTACTCAATGGAAGACCAGCAAGACCGTGTTATTGTTTAGGTAGGCTGACCTACGCTTTATCGGCATGCATTAGCCAATCTACTTACTGTCTCTCGTCTACAAACTTTTCACTTGAGTCGCACTAATCAAGACTGAAATAATGCAGCACGAAGAACAACCATATGAGCAAACAGGGTTTCGCAAGGATTCAGTACGATGGACCACATCCAGACGACAACGAGACTCACCGAAGTACCGAGAGAGTCCAAGGACCACTTTCTCTCTCTCACATGTTCATCGACTTAAAAAAAAACCTTTGACTCAGTTGAGATAGAAGCAGTCATCGAATCCCTTAATAATCAGGGAGTCCCTACTCAGTACATAAAGGTTCTTCGTGAGCTGAATGAAAATTTCACAACCATGATATCACCATTCTACAACGATATTAACATTGACGTCAAAAGAGGAGTTAGGCAAGGCGATAGCATCTCACCAAGATTATTTACCGCCACCTTCCAGAACGTCATGCGAATATTAGAAAGGGATAATATGGGAGTGAAAATCGACGGTCGACGGTTACACCACCTTCGCTTTGCTGATGACATCGTCCTTATAACATCAAACATTAGCCAAGCGGAATGTATGCCTGACGACTTTGTTAAAGCCTGTGGAAAGATTGGTCTTCGACTAAATCTCATAAAAGCGATGTTCATGAAGAATGGATTGGCTAGGTTTACCTCATTCACGCTTAGCGGAATGAATATCTCCGAATCCGAATCGAATCGATATCTGCTACGTCTATATAGGTCGAGAAATCAACACGGCCAACGACTTAGCTCCATAGTTCGGCAGGAGGAAGCAAGTAGCCTGGGATCTCTCAAGAGCATTGGGGAACTAATGGAGAGAACAAAGCACGCCTGACTTCGCGCTTCGACTTTACGATTCTTTCTACCTTAAAGTACGCTTAAGAAGCCTGATTGTTACGTAAGCAGGATAGAAGGTTACGGAGCGTTATTGAACGCGCAGTCGAAAGCACGATGCTAGTTTTTCGTATCATACCAATGAGGGAGGTGATCTGAAAGTCCGACCTGCATCAACGATCAGAAATTAAAGAACCTGCTGTATACGCCAAAATGTCGAGGATATGGTGCGCCGAGTACACAATGCGCATGAACGATAACGAATGGCCAAGGGCATCAGTCACTGGACTTTTCGGGATGTCAAGTGTACTTCAGGAAAACCGCAGACCTCATAGTTCTTCCCGTAAACCTTAGAGGAAAGGTGTGATATCCTCAACGGGTTCCTAGAGCGAGCTGATCCCACTGGGTTACTCTTGCATGGGACAGGGAAAAATGAAAGGTTTACTAGAACCGACTGGAGTCACTCTACGATCAACGGGACAACACGTGATACAGATGAGGTGGAGGTTGTGAGTCTCGCACCGTGATCTATAAGCCGTTTGCAAATACGAATACAGCTGACTGATTTTGTAACCACGATGATGCCGAGATACAACCAAAATGATGCTGAGATATTTCCAAAACTGGGACTCCAGATCAGATCCGAACCAGTGGCAACCTTTCCGGGAGCTCACGCAATACCCACTGCACAGTGAGGCGCTTGCTTTGCCGCTT